AAAAAAGTTTTTTTACTGCTCGACTTTATCGTAAATAACTCACAGAAAAACGCCATTTAAAACACGATCTTCCAATTATCTTTATCAGGATTTGCAATCAATGCTACTTGAGTTTTAGCGTCGAAGATAAGAAATGAAAACATTCATTACTTCAAATTACAACMTATTTAAAGACCTGTGATCAAAGGCGCGGGCCATCCACGCACTCGCGCGTCACATCGTTGATCGCTCCTCCCTTGATTGACCAGTTTCGAGTTCCGAATCACCGCTGTGTTTCTTGATTATAGACTCATTTACTCAGCTCATATCAGTGTCTAAATATTCACGAATACCAACAGTAAAGTAAAGAATGCACAACTTCAACAATACAAACACTTTGAAATTCCACGGACCTTCACTGAAACAAATGAATATTCTGCACATAATCTAGGCTAACACTGAACAACAGAGAAAAATTGAGTATTCTCAAGTCGCTTAACATCTCGCAATAAAAGATTTCGCGTAAAAATGTTAGTATTTTCATACACAACACAAGACAATTTCCTGTGGACACAAGACTGACTCACCCCACAAGATGTGCTCGGAATTTGAGACTACTTAAACCTTAAAAATCCAACTCATTAATCATTCTTCTTTTCTGTTTAGAAGCATTTAGTAACTTTGTTTTTACGYGTTGACAAGGTTTGTTGATTTTAATGGTAACCTATGACTTTTTCTTGATAAGTGTTGGTTCACCCGCTTGTAATGCGTCACTGGTAAAGACATTGATTACGCTGTTCCCCAGCCACACCAAAAATTAATTAATTAATTGATAGGTATTAAGGCATTTCCACAAGGTGGTTCTTTTTCCACTGGTTTTTTGCAGCGGGGAAAAACGGAGAACCTGGAAAACCCCTCGAAGCACAGGAGACAACCAACAAACAACTATACCCCCATACAACACCAAGCCATGCGGACATGGGAGGTGAACGCTACGCCATTCGTGTTTCCCAAGCACCGCATCATGTGGATCGGGGTTCACAACAAAGGGACCAGTCATTATTTAAGTCGGGGGGGGGGGGGTGGAGAAGAAAATGGAGGGCCCTCAATTTGTTTTAGTGGAACATGGGGGCCCTGAAAGGTCAAAAGGAGGATTAGGAGGATTTTTTCAACCATTGAAGGGGGGTACCCGGAAAACATGAATGCTATTAGTCAGGGGTCTGGAAAATTTTTTGCATCAAAAACATTTTCTCCTCCACCAAATTAGCATTATTACGCACGGCTGTCCTCCTGAGGATTAAATTTTTATTCTCTTGTGTTTTATATGACAGCAACGTTACCGTTTTTCAGATTGTTGAAGGTTTCGCAAAAGTGATCTATAATTGCTCCTGTTTTTGATGTGATGTGTTTTTACAATACCCTATCACTTTTGATCCGATTGTCATGATTTTACCATCAAAACTCCATTCAGCATTAGCTTTAACATCAGAAAATCAATTAGCAAACGTATAAAATGCATCAATGAATGATTTATCATTTCGTGAAGACGTTGAATATCGGAATGATGTTGTTGTTAATTGAAGTCTTCCAAGTAGAATGTCGTATTGACTGGATATTAAAACGCATTGATTTCACTGAGTTTGAATGCTGTTTGTGGTGCATGTCGATCAACTGCTACCTTGCTGTTGAGACAAAACGAGATACGGCAGGGAGGAGTTGGGTAGAATTCACAAGCATCAAAGGATGAACGGAGCAAGCTYTTGGATGTAGAGCCGAAAGAGAGAGAAGAAGAGGTAGCGGAAGAAGAAGGAGAAGGAAAAGCTGGAGAAAGAGAAGCACAAGAAAAATAAATACAAGGAAATCCAAAACAATTAAGAAAGAAAGGAAAGAAGAGAAGGCAAGGCGGAGAAAATGGCATATATTTAATTAACTGTTGACCGCATGCGACTCCCAATGTCATTAGTACGTACGTCTTGAACCAAAAGATCAAAGCCCTGGTTCAACCAGGGAGGGTCTAGACATAGTATCCTTTACCACTCACATTTGAACTCAAGAGTACATGAATACCCTGATGCATAGTTAATAGATTAACGATCAATATGTGGATGTGTAAAGTGGTTAAAGAAGCTAACACTTTTGAGTTAGCCAACCTCTAAATAAAGTTATATAACGTAGAAATTCGTCAAAAGTCCGTCGCCACACAAGACTGCAAGGTCCCCTTATAAGCCGGCACACGTAGATCCCTCGAATGCCTATTGCTAAAGGCAATGCAAGCAATTTATATCACTTTAATGAGATTGACGCTAGTTCAAAAATTACGAGGGTGAAGAAGAATGCGTGACTTACACAAGACTGCAAGAGTCTCATCTAACCACTCGTAGCACCCTCAAATATCTGTGGCAATGCTAGCCATCATGTAGATCATTTTAGAGAGATTGACGCTAGTACAACTTTACGAGGGCGAGGAAGGCTGACTGAGATTCCCAGACATCTCATTCTGTAGGCACCCTCCACATAAATAGCACGATGACAGCCGATTTCATGTCGGACAAGAGGGAGGTCGAATCATTCGTCAGAGTATCAAGTGCATCCCTCATCCACACAGCTCACTACATGCCATGCTAACAAATTAAATGTATCATTTGATATTTGTGGGAAATAAGTTAGGATTGCCCAGAGGTACGATGAGACGATTTATCTATTTCAGTCTTTGCCAATCTTGATTCTTTCAAAGGAATTAGGTCCAGTCTCGTTTGGCTCTTCAAGTTAAATAAATATAAATAATGATGGATTAACAGTGGATTCCACAGAATGGCTCTCCATCCACTGTCATTCCACTTGGAATTTAGAAGTTGATTTTTGGGGAGGGAGGAAAGCCGGAGAACCAGGAAAACCCTTGAAGCACAGGAGAAAACCAACAAACATACAACACCGAGCTCGTCGGGACTCGAACTCGGGTCGCATTGGTGAGAGACGAGCACTCTCACCGCTAGGCCACCCGTGCTTCCCTGTTAATCACAGAGTGTTAACCCAAACTAACGGCTTTTTCTATATGTTAAGAGTCTAATTCAAATACTTTTTTTTTGAAGTTAGATTGTTTTTTTYCCCTTCTTCATGGGACATCTAGATTCCCTCAAAACCTCAGACACGTCCCTTAACCACGAAATTAATCAATCAAGTCTTCGTCAACACTAAATATAGAAACAAGAAAGAGTAATTTTAAGAAAATCGTAAAGTATCTATTAGTCTAGCTAATGGTCAGGACATTAGTCGGTCACAAATCTTATTCAGTGTTGCACGTTTTTGACAAGGGAAACGGTTATTAAATATGAATGGTTACTATATTATGTATGTCATGTATTCGTACTGTATGTGATGTTCCGGCCTACAGTTATCCAAGCTATGTGTAATTCAACTTTCACTTACTTTAAAATTTCCCTAGAAATTATAAAAAAGGGAATGAATGCGTTTCGATTTTTTCCTGAAAAACTGTTCAAGTTTTGCTTGCCCTGTATGGTCTGTATTTTAAAAGCCTCAGACAAAAGAGAAAATATATTATAAGTTCATTAGTATGATAGAGTTAACACCTTATCAAGAGACCAATAGTGTGAAAAGTGCCACTTATGACGCTAGTCCACACTTTTTGAAGCTTATTTTTCGCTCCATAACACGGTACACTGAACACTGATAGAGAGATTTTACTAAGCCCCTGAAAATAGTGATTAACAGTCAAAGTAAAACAAAAGAAAACAATGAAATTAGTAGATCTACTAACTATGCGTGATTACAGGCCACTCTTATTCAGTATCCGTCAAACGCTAGCTGCAACTTTTTGCCGTCTTTTAGACTATAAATTCCTGAAAAATGATMTTTTTCGAATATCACAAAGAAAAGAATTGGTTCAATTAAGTTTCAGTTTCAGACACAAAACGATCGTACAAATGACTTTGTCAACACAGTTGTTCTAGGGATTTAATAGTTGATATGACACAAACTTAGATCAGTCCAGAGGTTGTTTCAGGGTTCTATCTGTGAGTTAGCCATGCCCTGAC